TGTCCTGTGCCCGGTCGCGAGCGGTGGGTGGGTGGAAGTGGGAAGGCGGGAAAACCACGGTTTGCTCATTGATGGGAGACTTCAGTTCTGTTGGGCAGGAACTTTGATAAACCGGAGCTGTCTTCATCATCCCGCGCCTAATCGATGGTTTGCTCATTGGTGGGAGACTTTAGTTCTGTCGGGCAGGAACTCTGATAAACCGGAGCCGTCTTCATCCCGCTCCTAATCGGTGTCCTTTGGCAGAAAAGCGGGCAGATCAGTGAGGGGGTTGTTTACCTGCTGCCAAGTAGCCTCCGACTCTTGGGGACCCTATGAATCGCCAAAAGGTCTTGCCCTCAACTGCCCTGCTCAGCACTTGTAAATTCAAGCCTGTGGTTTCTTTTAAGCAGTTACTCCATCTGGTATTTGGTCTTCCTCTTTTCCTACTGCCTTCCACCTTTCCCAGTATTACTGCCGCCGGAGTGAGCTCCCGTCGCTTTGTCCCAGCTCCTTGTCAACCTAGCAGTTCGAAAGCATGCAAATGTGAGTAGATAAATAGGTACCACCTCAGTGGGAAGGTAAACAACATTTCGTGTCTAGTCGGGCTGGCCTCGTGACCACAGAGGATTGTCTGCGGACAAATGCTGGCTCTGTGGGTTGGAAACGGAGATGAGCACCGCCACCTAGAGTCGGACACGACTGGACAAATTGTCAAGGGGAAACTTTACCTTTTGAGTGCCCAAAGTAGGACAGCTTCCCTTTCAGCAGTTTCAAAATGTTGAATGAAGGATTGTTAATAAACAAATGCAAGGCAGTAATGCTGTGTCCTGTTGTAGACATGGAGATTAATGCATGCATTGTAACAAAGGGCTGTGGTTCTGTGGCTAAGGCAAGCAATAAAAGTTTAGCTTTTGGATGAATTCTTATGATGAAGTATAAGGCCACGGGGAATAAAAATGCAATAAATACTGGCACTGAGCATTTCGTTGCTGTGCAAAGTCAAGATTTAATTCGGTGTAATTTTTTTGTGCATCAGCTTGGGAAAAACTCCATTAACGCTTGGTAGGCATTCTTGAGGAGAAGGATGTAGGGATCTGACCACAGTATTTTTCTATTGATTCTTCTCTCTTTTTTTTGTTGAGGGTTTCTGTCTGTTTAATTTCTGTCTAGTTGCGGAAGTACTTTCTGAAAAATGATATGTGTAGAAAGAGGTCACTGTTTTCAAAACTATATGTATGCATTTATATGGATGCAGTGGGATTTTCTTCTGAGTAAGCCTGCGTTATTGCTATTTTAAGGCACTAAAACGGATCTTGTCTGCAGCAGTAGTTTGACAGGATCTCAGGGCAAGTTCTTCCCCTCACTTCAGTTACTTCAGTTTTTTTTTAAGTGGATATAGTGGGATTTGAGCCTAAGACATTCTATATAGAAAGCAATCATACTAAGCTACAGGCTCTTTTAATATCTCTCTATTTTTGGAGCTTGACTTGTGTGGAAAGGCTTTTTCTTTGTCTTATAATAATAATGTGCCGTCAAGTTAATTCTGATTTATGACAACCCTTTCCATGGTGTTCTAGATAGAGAATGCTTAGAAGTGGTTTACCATACCCTTCTTCTGAGGGTGCCCTGGGATGGTGCAACTTGCCCAAGGGCACATAGGCTGGTTCTACTCACAGGAGGTGCAGTGGGGAATTGAATTCTTGACTTCTGGCTCTGTAACCAGATACCTAAACCACTCGGCTATCCAGCTAGCATTAAAGATATATCATTCCTCCTCTGTGAGTGGGGTACCTATCTATGTGCCAGGGCTTGCCTTATTTTGGAAAAACTGCCCATTCTTTACTCCCCTCTTGAGCACGCTTGTGGGCTTTGTGGTTCTCAAAAGTAAGTTTTTGAGGGTCTGAATGTAAATGGTCTCTGGTTTCAAAGCTTCACTCTTCCCTTCCCTTCCTGCAGAATTTTGTTGAAGGAGAGCAAAATCTCAGGATCTGCTGAGGAGGCCTGTGTTCCCCTGAATACCTTAACACAGGTGGAAGCTTGGCAGGAAGAATGGCAACCAAGGTGCAAGAACAGAGTCTGGAGGCTTCCTGCTCTGACCCTGTGGAGGAGAGGGAACCAGGTAGTGACATTGGAGCCGAGCATCCGGACTTGGATAGAAGCGAGCCCGGCCCATCCAGCAAATGTTCAGGAGCCAAACGTTCAGAGATGCCGACCCAGCCTGTGACCCAGTGTTCTGCTGCAAATTTGCAGGTGAAACAGGAAGAGAAGCCAGAGACTGAACAGCCTGCCGTGGTGGCTCGTTCTGCCGAAGTTACGGCGCCTGTTCCTGCACCAGCACTAGGAGAAGGGAAAGGGGCCAAACGGATGATGGAGGATGATGCCGATGGCTTTAAGGAAATGCCAGATGTCTGCCAGGAGGCCAGGGAGTCTGGAAGAGCAATGGTTCTGCCAGATCTCTTTGGGGAGGCTCACCAAGCTTATACCAGCCAGGGCGGAGGCTGTGCCAAGGTGGAGCAAGCAGTCCCCTGCCTTTCCAACATGGGCTCTGAAAACCAGCGCAAGCGCTTCCGAGGGTTTGCGTACAAAGAGACTGAGGGCCCGCAGGTGGCCTACGAGCGGCTCCAGGAGCTCTTGTTCCAGTGGCTGAAACCTGAAGCCCGCAGCAAGGAAGAGATCGTGGAGCAGCTGGTCCTTGAGCAATTCCTGAACCTCCTCCCCGAGGATGTCCAGCACTGGGTCCGGGAGCGTCATCCTGAGAATGGTGATGAGGCCGTTGCCCTGGCGGAAGACTACCAGTTTCTGCACCCTGAGCCTGGCAGACGGCCGTACCCAGAGAGGACAAGGCAGAGGGCATCAGCAAGGAGTTGGCTGCGCTGAACTGTGGGCCAATGGGCAGGGATGGTTATCAGTAAGTAAGAGGAAAGGAACTATTACTGTGTTACAGCAAGGATAGACCGCTGCGGCCCTCCAGATGTATTAGGCTCATGACTTCCATCAGCTCTAGGCAACATAGCCAATGCTGAAGACTTACAGGAGCTGCAGTCCAAAACTATCAGGAGAATCATTGTTGCCTGTCTGAGTGCTAGGCCAAATATTCCTTGAGAGTCTGGTAGCAGCACTATGAGAATATTCCTACCACTTTGGAATTTGTACCATATTTGGAGCTAAGTTGTAGTGATTTCAATAATAACAATAATAGCAATTGTGTGCTGTCAGGACATTTCTGGGTTTTTCGGGTAGGGCATACTCAGAGGGGGTTTACTATTCCCTTCTAGGGAAGTCCTGGCACTGCAGTTTGCCCAAGGGTACATAGGCTGGCTGTTCTGGAGGCACAGTGGGCAATTCAACTTCCAGCCTTGAGCTCCTCAGCCCGATGCCTGACTCACTGAGTGATCTAGCCAGCTGATTTTAGGCATCTGCTTTACTCGTGTGCCACATTCTCTTTATCACTTTGAAGGATGATAAAGAGAACCGAGTTATTCCACAGTGTTAGAGCTCATCCTGGTGCGGTTGTCAGTGCTGTCTTCTCACTATCCCTGGAATCTAAGGCTGAGTGAGAAGTTCACAAATCTCTAAGAACTGGCAATTAAAGGAATAAGTGTCTCTCTGTGCAGGTTGAACAGGGATGCCCTGGACAGAATGCTAGAATGCAGTGCCCATCATTCCTCATGGCTGGCTAGGCTGCATAGGGATGATGGGAGTTGCATTTCCCACGTCTGCAGATCTGCACTTTGTTTACTCTGTGATAGGTGATTTGAAGAACATGATCTCTAACACAGTTTAGAAAAAAAAGTATAACATTTTGACAAGAGCATCATATAGTGTTGAACTAGGACTAGAGGAACTCGTGTTCAGTTGCCCATTCATCCATGAAGCTTGTTAGGTAATTGGTGTGGGGGGGCGGAATTACTCTAATCTTAATCTACTTCATTAGATGGTTTTGATAATGTGATATGAAGGCAAAGCAGTGGGAAAGGAGCCCAACTAATCTCTTTGAGATAAAAAAAATAGTAAATACAATGATTAATTTCAGGTTCTGTGAAACAGTTTGCAGTCTTCTGGAACAATTTGTACTTGCAGTATTGCTTGCAGTATTTGTTGTTGTTGTTGATGATGATGATAATATCCCATTGCTTGAAGTCAATTGTGACTTACGGCAACCATTTTTCAGGAGTTTCTAGGTAGAGAGTACTCAAGTGGTTTTCCATTCTTGGGGAACCCTGGGACTGTGCAGCTTGCCCAAGGTCACACAGGCTAGTTTTTCTCCCGGGAGGCACAGTGGGGAACCAAACTCCCAACCTTTGGCTCTTCAGCCAGATACCTAACTCACCAAGCTACCCAGCCAGCTCTGTGGTGGATAGGACTGCCTCTGTTGCCAAAGAGGGGGAGACAGCCTATCTTGGCTAAAGAGCTGTGAAGGCCTGGAACAAAAGGGAAAGAGAGCCCCTTTTCACCCCCCCCCCCCCGAGATACTGGAGAAAATGTATGTAAAATTAGTGCCCCCTTTCCCCAATTTTTCTGGTTTTTTTTCCTTTAGTTCTTTATGTGTGTAATGGCCTTGCATTTCTTTATCTCTACCTGACAGTATTGCTTTGAATTTGAATTCTTGAGGATCTTTTCCTGCAGTTCGGTGGGAGAGCACAAACGGGAAATCTGTTGCTCATTCCTCTCCTGTTTCTGACAAGTTCTTGTTTGTCATTTACAGATGGAGAGAATCAAAGACCTAGTTATCTACCAAGCTGGAGAGAAACCTAGATGGGCAAGAGGAATCTCAGAATCCGGAACCATGGCATACATCTGCTTTACACAACCTTTACATTGCTCTTCCCTGCTTAAGGCCATTACCTGGAAGGAAGCCTACACCTCATCTGTTGGATGTGTGCTTGTGAGGATGTATGTGCCTGTGTATGTATGTGTGAGAAAAAGCTGACAAAGCCATGCTTGATCCTTGCTGCAGCCTACAGAGAGTGAACTGGAGCAAGAATAAGGCATGGTCTGGAAAGAGCTTCAGGTCTTTGTAAAAGTTTGTGTATGTGTGAGAGAGAAAAACAACTGAAAGTGAGGAAAGACTAGCATGACATGTGTATGTACATTTTTCTAGGATGCAAAAAAAGGAGGGCCTTGTAACCATGGGAATAAATACTCTATTCCAGCTTAGCTGTGATCTGGGGGATCTGCTAGCTTTCTATAGTCCCCAAGTGTGAATTATGCAGAGCTTGGGAAAAGGTGTGTTTGTGGGTAGTTGGCAACAACTCCCAGGATTCCCCAGTGGTCCTCCTCACTGTGGGATTCTGGAAGCTGTAATCTAAAAAATGTAATTGTTCCCAAGCTTTGGGGTTACGTTTCTCTGTTATCCCTAGAGGTGTGTAAGCCCATCTCATCCTGCCACTCAACTTCCATGCATTTGCCAAGAAAACTGAATATTGGTTTCTCCTTTTCCCTGTATTCAGCGCTGTGCCTCATAGTTTCCAAGAAATCACTGCCCTTTCTGGGGAATCTGTGTGTTTTGGCAGGGAAGCCCCCAGAACATCACTTGGGTGTCACCCTGAGATAGGTCTGTTGGGGGAATAACACATCAGCAACCCTTCTGCCACAGCCCTGCCTCTTCAACAAACTCATCAGTTTGTCCAGCCAAGCCAGCTTGGTATGCAGTAGCTCCATGGCATTGGGGGACTGCACATGGTTCCACACTATGTGGGTTTGTGTAATTACACAGCTGTCCTGGCATTCTGTTCCCAGGGAGTTTCAGCATCCTGTGGAGAAAAAGACCCCCTGCAACTTACTGCGCCTTCTTTATACCTGTTAGTCAGAAGACTTGTTACATGTATAGGCCAGCCAACTTGGTTATGGAGCCTTGCAGGCCCGAGCTCAGAAATGTTACATTTTGGCACTATAATTGCCAGGGCACTCAGCCGGCATGCTCCATGGCCATGTTGCCCCATACTGGCTGGGAGATTCTTGGAGCTGCGCAAGGGGAAAAATACTTCTCCAAGATTGGGGGGGAGGAAAAGTATTTTAAATAGCAGCTAAACCATATTCTTAACATGTGAGATCACATCTACCTTTGTGATGAGAAGTGTCTTCCTCCTGGCCTTTTACTTATCAGAAGGCCTGCTGCAATGACCAACATCCTTATTCACAGCATCCTCTCTCCCTGCTTGTTACTGTTGTTTAACGTTTTGTCAGTTTCTTGGAGAGGAGTTGAAACCTCCGATTCTGATTTGAAAGCCATCATGATCTGATGAGTCAAGAACTTTGGGATGTTTCAGATGAGACTTCTGAAAGGGTGCTGGGGGAATAGGATGGAAGAAGCTCTTCTATCCCCTTCCTCCATTCTGCCCCCTGTTTATGCTAGTGTCTCAAACTTCTCATAGAAACGTAAGCTTTTGAAATTCTTTAGTGACCTGATGTGATGTATACTCTTGCCTTGTATCAGATGGTTGCATCTTTGGCTCTGCTTTATTTGTGTAATACTTCTGGTGTGTATCTGTGGATGAGCACATGGAATAAAAGTCTTTTCCCCCATGCATGGGTCCTGTGTCTTCTGATGCAGAGCTTCTTTTTCTGTTTCTTTCCCAATTGCCTTCCCTTCCCCTACCCCCAAAATTCAAAGCAAAAAAGGAAGTTTGTGACCATGTAAGCTGCCAGTTATTGAATTGGTGGCCTCTTAATGAAGCAAAGCTGTGGAATTATGGATTTTTGCCTTCCCGAAATAACCTGTGGCCCCAGTGGCTTGGAAACCCTTGGAGATTCTTTGGAATGGTTAAGAGCCATGTCAGATAATGTACACTTTCCCTGCCTGTACTTTTAAATGGAGATATGAAGACCTACTGCTGTTTGGGCAGAAATTACAATATACTGTATTGGCCAAAATCAAAGCAAAAAGTGCTGCTTATATAGTGCTTCAAGCACTCTCTGGGCGGTTTACAAGTTAATTGTGCAGGCTACACTGTTGCTTGACCTAGTAAATCACACTAGAGCACCACTGAATCTGAGGATTTGGTGAGTCAACTCCGTAGATCCCATTGATTCAAATGGACTGCAACTTAATTTGGCATTGTAAATTGCATTTGAAATCAGCCTATTTCAATCTGAAATGTATGGAGGAGTTGATTCATTCAATTTCCATTGACTCGGTGGGTCAACTGTAGTGTTACTACACTAAGCAACAGGATTTTGGCCATTGCACTCTGTGGAATTTCTCTAATGGTTCTCTTTTTTAAGGGAACATTATTGGCTTTTCTTTCCTCTAGACATTGACTTTCCTCACTTTCTCCTGGTTGATTTTTCAGGATGTTGGGGGCTTTCAGGATTGGAGACTTCCCTTTTAATGTTCCCTGTAAATATTCCCTGCATCCAAAAAGAAGATTGGACCAGTGACTGAGCAGGAAAGCATTAGGATCACACTGGTTGGGAAGCCAGTGGTGATTGGATCACAGATCATCCCCTCCAGTTATGGATATGTAAAAAGGAACAAGGCAAGAGCTGTATTTGCCATGGGGGCTAGTGAAAAATTAACCAAGACAGTTGATCAGCTGAGATAATTTTTAATCACGAGACCATAGTAGATTTTCTTACAACCTTGTGCACTCTGTCTGCTCCAGTTCACGTTCTGTTTATTTGCTCATCGGCTTTCTTCCAGAGAGCCTTGCCAGATCAGGCCAAAAGTTCGTCTAGTCCTACATGGTGTTTCTCGTAGCAGGAAAAAGATAACTTTCGCAAGCTGAACCTAAAGAAAACAGTCTTCCCCAGCTGTCTCGTTCACCTTCCATTCCCAGCAACCAACATTCAGGCGATAACATGCTTTTGAATGTAGCAGAATACAAGGAGCTGCCTTACCCTGGATCACATTGTTGGTTTATCTGGCCCAATATTACCAAATGACTGGTAGTAGCTTCCAAGGGTTCCATCAGGATTCTTTCTTACCCCTAGCAGGAGTTCCCTGATTGTCTTCCATCAGCACACTATCTAGAGCTGAGCCTCTGGTCATGTGCCATCCATGTTAGGTTGATTCCAACCTAATGGCAACTCTTAAGGAGTCCTCTCTCATTGCCACCTCAGTAAATTTCAGTGACTGAGTATGGATTTGAACCTTGGTGTTCTGAGTCTTGGCCTCAGATCCATCCACTACGCACCTCTGTTCTTGCACCCCCACTGCTTCAAGTGCTCCTGTTCCCTCAATTTTTACAAGCTTCTTCATTACAATTTACTGCATTGCTTCCTTTTCTTAAGCATTCTTAGCTTCTGCAGGCGGTATAGGATCAGTGCAAACTGCATGGGATGTTGCATTCCATTACAGTGGCTTCCTCTCGTCATCGTTTACTAACGATAAATACATACCTTATGATTTTATTGTTCAGCTCCCAGCATTTCTCACCGTGGGCTATGCTGGCTGATGGGAATTGTTGCCCCAATATCTGCAGGGCAACGCGTTTCCCACACTTGATCTAGTCCTTCCCGTACCATGTGCATATTCCTTTGATATCTTTTAAGACATCCTCCACTATCAGAGGTGATATAATTAGTAAATCCCTCCCAACACATACAATTTTTTTTGTAAAAAGCAGCGTTTCCAAACTAGGAATACCATGTGCATATTCCTTTGGTATCTTTTAAGACATCCTCCACTATCAGAGGTGATATAATTAGGAAATCCCTCCCAACACATAGTTTTTTTTTTTAAGCAGCTTTTCCAAACTAGAAAATCTTTGAAAGTCTTGCCATAACTTTACCTCCCCAAGGATTTCCTTTAACTTTGTAATTAGATCATCACTGAATGCTGTTCTTCATCTTGCCAGCTGCGGTTCTGTCCCTTGCCATCCAGGCTGTGACAGCAAACAGCTATTTTCTCACTGTTTGACATACCTCTTAACCCGCCCCTCAGAATTGGCTTGTTGCTTCCTTCGAATGTTGCCACTGGAGAGATAATTTTGTTTCCTGTCATTACTACTGTAATTGCAAGTCGGAACTGTTGTCTTTTTAATGGTGTGCTGGGATGTCTTGAACCTCTGGTGCATTAATCTATTGCATTCAAAATCAATTCCACAGTGATCTAGCAAGATCAATTTATAATTTGGGTGATGTTGTTTTAGCATTAGACTGAAATGTATAGCAGCAACTTTTTCTGGTACAGTATTAAGAATACAGTACAAGGTTTTTAACAAGGATATCCCAAACCTGCCTGTTCATGGCATGTGTTGTTCTTGTTATTGCTGCTGTTATGTGCTGTCAAGTCACTTCTGACTTTTGGCAACCTTATGAATGAGCAACCTCCCAAATGTCCTGCTCAGCTCTTGTAATGTTCAAGCCTGTGGTTCCTCGGTCCATCTCATATTTGGTCCTCCTCCCAAAATGTCCTGCTCAGCTCTTGTAAACTTCAAGCCTGTGCTTCATCAGTCCATCTTATATTTGGTCCTCCTCCTTTTCCAGCTGTCTTCCATCTTTCCCACCATTATTGTCTTTCCCAAAGAATTCTGACTTCTCATAATGTGCCCAAAGTAGGACAGCCTCAGTTTTAACTGTTTTGCCTCCAGAGATACAGTAGTTCAGGCTGGATTTGATCTAAGACCCACTTGTTTGTCTTTCTGGCAGTCCAGGGCGTCTGCAAAGCTCTCCTCCAGCACCACATTCTATTCCCAGCTTTGCCAAGTGAAGAATTTCAGCCAGATTTCTTTTCTTTCTTATTTCACTGTGGGAGGTAGGAGGCGAATTCTGCAAAGCTCTCCTCCAGCACCACGTTTTATTCCCAGGTTTGCCAGGTGAAGAATTTCAGCCAAATTTCTTTTCTTTCTTATTTCACTTTGGGAGGTAGGAGGCGAAACTTGAAAAGTAGAGGAGAGGAAGGTTTAAGCCATCCCCTGGCCCTGGTGTGTTGGTTCTGATTGAGATCAGGGCTTTCACTGAATGGAATGGAAATGATTCTTGAACTGTGTTGTATATAAGTAAGGAACACTCTTTCTGTGAATATGTTGGGATGGGGATCCATTAGCCTTCTGCTCACTTTGGTCTGCTGCTCCCATCGGTGCTACCCAGTATGGCCAATGATTAAGGGCCTTGAAGCAGTCTACAGTCCAAAAAAATCAGGAGGGCCAAGGACTCTCTGTAAGTAAGTATTCAGCTGCAGAGCCAGACGTTGGCAGTTTGATTCCCTGCCGTGCCTTGGAGGAGAGCCAACCAATGTGGCCTTGGCACTCTCTGTGGTCCCACAGCACCCCCAGAAGAAGGGAATTGGAAACCACTTCTGAATACGGTTCTGAAAAGGGTTGCCATGAATCAGAATCGGCTCGAAAGCACATAATCGTTATTAATTCCAAATTAGTCACACATGGGATTGCATTGCCTGTTGTTAAGTGAACCAAGTGGAACATTTTAGATGTTAAAAGTTAAAGTTTAAAAAGAGATTGAAGAGTAGCCTAATTAACAAAAGATCCTTTTTAGTGTGTGTTATGTGCCATCATGTAGACTCTGACGTACGGTACCCTAGCAGGGTATCAGAAGTACGTGAGATTAAGGAATGGTTTTGCCAACACCCTCATCCCCCTCAATGAGTTTTCACAGCCAAGGAGGAATTTGAACCTCCTGATCCCAATGCCATAATCTATTAACTACACTACATTGGCTCCCATTGCTCAGGAGCGGTTTATCATTCCTGTCTTCTGGGAGCAGTCTACTTGGCAGCTTCCCCAAGGCTATACAGGCTTCTCCTGGAAGGCACAGTGGGGAATCGAATTCCTGACCAAGTGCTCATGCTCAGCGGGTTGTCCCGCCAAATTTAGTAGCCTCTTCCAAACCATGTGACTTGAGACTACATCTGCTCTTTTTCAAATGTACCGTATTTTTCGCACCATAAGACGCACTTTTTTCCCACAAAACGGGGTGAAAAGTCTGTGCGTCTTATGGAGCGAAGAAAACAGATTATATTTTCCTGTTTTCTTCTCCTAAAAATTGGTGCGTCTTATGGAAAGGTGCGTCTTATGGAGCGAAAAATACGGTACTTCTGCTAGATATTCCCTTGCCAGTGCTTGGAAAAAGTTCCCTTTTGGACTGCTGCTCCCAGAGTCTGTTGGCCATCCAGGCTGGGGAATTTTGATCCCAAAGTATTACAAACAAAATATGACATCAAATTCTTGTTTGTCAGTGTTTGGTTCTGGCCAAGTCATATTGGGGGAAGGAACTTTTAAGAGGAAAAGATGTCCATATGCTGTTCCCTTGCTAGTGCTGTTACCTCTGGAAGATAAGAAAAGAAGATGTAGATTGCTGATTAAAGAGTCTCCTTGTTTTACTTTATTTAGCTTTTAGAAAGGCTATTCAGATTAAAACCATGATTCTTATAAACCAAGAGAGTCAAGATAATAATGCTTAGGGGGAAAAAAAGAGTATCTGGGGAATTCTTGTTCCGGCAACAGTAGGACCGCAAACCTGTGCTCATTTATCAGGGAACAGGTGTTTCATTCAATTTAATTCATGGCTTACTTGTAAGTAAACATATGGTATATCCTAACAGGAGATAAAGGTGGCATATGGTGCCATCCAGAACTACACTTTGCATTTAGTTTGATGGTAGCTCCCAGGAAGAGATCTGTCTAAATTTATAGCTATAAGAAAAAGGAGACTTTTGCAAATAGGTGGCACCCTGGTCCTGCAAGCAATGTGATATTACTTAAGAGCTTCCTCCAGTAATATTCTGGATCCAAGCATTATAACTAAAGACCTTGGCATAGATGCCAGGTTCCAGGGGCTCAGCACAAGGGAAGCCCCCAAAAGATACAATGCCCTGGAGTTCGCCATCACAGATAAGAGGTCCTCCAGAGTCTCCCTGTGGAAAGAAGAGCATAATTGGTTAATTAAATTAACAATTGCTATCCCACCTTTCTCCCAAAACTGGGCAGATCACAAGAAGATTAAAACCTGATACAGAGAAAAACACAAACATTCATAAGGCCTCAATCCAGCCCTAACTGAAGCAGGCGTGCAGAAGCAATAACTGAATGATAAGCCAATATTTAAGGTAAATCTTGATTTATTGGATCTACTGTAGTTGAGGCCACCAACTGGTTTAGGGCACTAAGTCGTAGGTCCGTGTCCTGTTCAATAGTTGCAGATGTGGAGTTTGAAACATGGACAGCTGCCATGGCGATCTGACAAGTTACTAGGTACATGGCTGGCATCTCTTCACAGTTGGCTTATAATCTCCAAAAGACTGGTATGTCAAGGGTGGAAATGTAAACACCCATCTTTCAACAATCAAATCTCATTAATTTAGTTACTCATATATATGAACTTCCACCAATGCCAACTCCAAACAAAATCTTTTTCAGGCGTGTGGTTAGTTAATATTAACGTACACACCTCACCCATGATTAATACATTCCTTCCGTCCTATGGCCACCAAGAAAGTACAGTATTAAGAAATGTCTAGCTATTACTTCGGCTGTAAAAAGACTGGCCCAAATATTTTGTTACTTAAGGGAGAAGAGCAAACGACACCACCTTATCCCCACCCCCTGTTGAGGTACCTAAAGCCGGACAAGTTATTTCTGCACATACATAAATACATACTTACACACACACACATACACACACAGTTCACACTTGACAGCACATAACAATTTTTAATACTTTTAAATCTTGCTTCAACAAACAAACACACACACACACACATACAGTTCACACTTGACAGCACATAATTTTTAATACTTTTAAATCTTGCTTAATTTATTTTAATTGTTGGTTGATTCTAAATTTTATGTATGCTACCTTAGGTGCCACTAAGGGAGAAATGTGGGACAGAAAATCAAATAAACAAACAAACAACCCTAGCCCAGGTCCATGTCCATGGATCCGTGAATATATTCCTCAGAGCCACATAACCTCCTCTTTCTTCCCTGCCCACCACTGAGTCTCCCACATGTGGCTGACCCCTGTGAGAAACAGTGGCCATTATAAGGAGAGCTCAGAAGTCACCGCCTGCCATTGACAGGAGATGACTTTGCTCCGAGAATTTCTATAGCAACATCTGTTGTTCTTCTTTCTTCCACTATCCGTGGAATCATGGCAGCCATTTGTAGAGTCCACTAAGATGACTCCCCGCCCACATGCAACACATTTCTGGCTGCTTTGTTGTTCATTTGTAAGCATGTCTGTTCTGTCTTTGTGAATACATCTTACAGCTGGAATTCTGACCCTGCTGAGCACCCTCAGGACGTCTTGTCCTGGGTTAAATCCTTGAGAAAATGGTTGTCCCCCACCAGTGGCCAGGCCAGCTAGATAGTTTGGGCAGCAGTCGCCAAAAAAAACACACCCTCTAATGAAGCGGAGTTATTGGTGAACAGAACTCTCTTTCTCAGGGACCCTGTCCACAGAGGAGACCGCCTTACCCGGCACGAATCCTTGCCTCCTTCCAGGACTCCTGCACAAAACGTGTGGCAACTTCCTTCCCACCATGGGTAAGCAGCCTCACACACTGCGTCGTTGAGGATCTCAATGTCAACACAGTATGGAACATGGGGGTACGTCTCTGAAAGCCAAAAGGAAGATCTAGTAAGACGCGTGTGAAGGTCCAGTTTTTCAGGGGATACATTTGAAGAAAGAGAGATGTTGCTTCAATAATGACAGCAGTACCAACAGTGACAGCTTGCCCTCGAATGGTGATGATGGCGTCCTGCTTCTGGACAGCTGGGTCTCAGCAGCAAGGTCTTAACAAGCTGAGACTGGTACCAGCAAATGTATATGCAGCCAGTAGGCAATCCAGGCACGGGGAATCCAGAAGCAGACTCAGAAGGCAAAGCAGAGGCCAAGCTACAACAGTCCTACAAGTAAGCAGGTAAATCAAGGAAGGATGATACAGCAGCATTTCATAGTCTACAACTGGTCAAGTTCAAATAACGGTACAGTGGTGCCTCGCAAGACAAATGCCTTGCAGGACAAAAAACTCGCAAGACAAATGGTTTTGGCAATGGGGGTGATGACTTGCAAGACAAATGTTCCTATGGCCGTGCTTCACAAGACGAATGTTTTCCGTTTTTTGTTCCTGCCTCATGTTTGCTGATTTTTATATGTTTTTCTATGATGTTTAAAAAGTTAAAGTTTTTTGATTGAAATTTTGCAGATAATCTGCACAATATGTATGGCTTTAAATAGCATTTCATAAAACCTTTGTAAACCAAATTTGACTTTGTTCTACCTTTTTTGCATTAATTAGATTTTAATGTATTCCTATGGGAAAACGCGTTTTGCAAGATGAATTTTTCGCAAGAAAACATTAACCGTGGAACAAATTAAATTCACCTTGCGAGGCACCACTGTAGCTGAAACACCAAATCATGCACAACATAAGGTCAGACATTGTCAGATCATCACAAAAAAAGAGAACTGAGCAATGCAGGAACTGCTGAAGTCCTGAGCACAATGTTTGCAGCAGCTCATGCAGCCTGGAACGAAGATTTTTTTGTAGCTGTTGGGATCCCACCTAGGCTCAGCTGGAGGCAACAAAATATCTCCCAATATCAGTTTCATACTAAATATTGATTGGCTCTTGGATGTATGTTACATTTACCTGCAGTAATTTATGCCTTCGGTTGTTTTAGGGTTCTGTTGTAAAAATTCCTCAGGAGACAGAAAACAGACACCAAGCTTGGTCAAAGAGGAGAGAGAGAGATTTGGGTGGGTAGCGTTTGAAGATTTTTAAAATCAAGATGGAGAGAAAAAATATTAAATATAAAGGTGAAAGAACATGGCAGAGGAATGACATGTTTTAATGTAGGGAATATCGACAGTTTTTACCTTTAAGCCTTGTAATGAGAGATGGGCTCTTACTAAGGGGAATATCTGCTAACAGTCACTTGCAGGTTGGACCCATGTGAACGTTTCTTCTTTCATGCCTATGAATCTAGTTTAAGATAAGGGTGAGTATATGTATGGCTCTTCCAGATGTTGCTGGATGACAAGGTCCATCGTTCCCTGTCATTAGATATATTTTCTGATGGAAATTTCACCCTGACAAAATCTAGCAGGACACAAGTTGTCCACTTTGAGCTTATTGGGTGATATAATCCTTCAGAAAGCCCTCTCAAGACTTCAGGTCCAACCTGCCCACTTCTCTCACCAGGCACAGAAGGACTTTGAGCCTGGCCTATGGATTCCACCCAAGCCCTGGTGAAGAAGAAAACCACAAGGCAGCATGCAGGCATGGTTCCTACCTTCTGGCGTCGTGATGGAGCCCCAGCCCATCACTTTGCAGGTCGTTCCCACAGGGGCAGGCTCAGTGGGCAAAGCGATGGGGCGAATGTAGTCATTATAAACAACAGAGCTATTCAGCCGGATCAACATGATATCGTCATCAGCTTTTGTGCATTCGGAGTCTCTGGGACAAGGGACTTTATAGGAGGGATTCGAACAGCAGTTATTGTCAGGGCAACAGACGATATCCGCACCAACTCTTAACTGCTCATCCCCTCTTGGATTTTCTCTGTTGTGCACTCCAAACCTTAATTGGATCTCACCTCTGGAAGAGAAACGGAGAAGGTCTTAGATAGATTTCAGGTAGATGGAAGCCTAGCTACACCTATGTATGGGACATACATGTAATCCACCCGATGCTGTTGCACTCCTAACATGCCCTAACCATTGACTAGGCTGGGTAGGGCTGCTGGGAGCTGAATTCCAACAACATCTGGAGGGCCATGTTGTGCCCACTCTGGATCTAGTCCTTCTGTAGTGTGTGCTAAAAGCAGATTTAATTTTTCCTTTATTCCAATCTTCCAAGTGTTGGTCACCATTTCTGCAGTAAGAGATGGTGCCATTCCCTACAAGAGACAAACAATGATTTTTAATTATGCATTATGATGAAGTCAGTTTTTCACCATTGGCCATGCCGGCTAGGGCTACGGGGAGTTGCAATTCAACGACATCTGGAGTGCTGCATTTTGCCCATCGTGGGGACAGAGCTTTGCAACTGTACCCATCATCACTGTCCGGCCAATCAGGATTGGAGAACCTTTCATCCTTCACTTGTTCTGGCCAACAACACCCACAAACCCCACCTAATGTGGCCAATTGCAAGCGATTCTGGGAGTTGCAAGCTGACACGTCTGGAGGGCTAAGGTTTCTCTAGTCTTGGTATTTCCTATGTCAGGAGACTAACTGCAGATCATGGCTGTCGCTCATCTCATGCCTAGCCAATGTGCTGGAAAGGAACAGGGATGGCAACTCTGTGTCTTTGGTCACAGATACTGTGGGCAATATGTTTAGCTAATTAATACACGACTGAGCCATGTAATAGACATACTGTGGATTCACAGGTGAACCTATCATTAGATGATTCCCTCTCAACCTTTATTGGCAACCAAGATACTGTTGGAACAGAGGACTAACTCTGAATGAGGTCGGTTGGTGGGAAGTCGTAGGTAGAGAATGTGTGTATGCTTTCCCCTTTTTCTCTTGTCTTAAGCTACAAGTAATGGTGCCCCACTTGATGACAATAATCTGTTCCAGGAAAATCACTGTTAAGCGAAATTGTCGTCAAGCAAAAAAACCCATTGGAATGCTTTGAAATGCATTCCAATGGGAAAATACGTCATCGTCCAGCAAAGATAGCCCACAGAGAACCGCTAATCAGCTGTTTAAAATCACTGTCTTCCGAAACTTCTGTCCGGAAAACAGCCATTTTGCGAAGGGAGGGAAGCCATTTTGTGGAGCCGGAAAAAATATCGTTTTGCGAACAAATGGTTCGCAAAGCAGGCACCTAATTGTAAAGCGAAAAAAAAACCATAGGAACTCATCATCAAGCGGGGTCGTCGTCAAGCAGGGCACCACTGTAAAATAATAATCATATGCCATCAAGTCAATTCTGACTTATGGTAACACTTTTCAGGGTTTTTCGTGTAGAGAATACTCAGAAGTGGTTTCCCATTCTCTTCTTCTGGGGGTGCCCTGGGACTGTGCAGCTTGCCCAAGGCCACCCAGGCTGGCTCTCCATATAGGAGGCACAGTGGGGAATTGAACTTCCAACCTCTGACTCCTCAGCCAGATCCCTAAACCACTGAGTTGTCCTTGTGAAAAAGTGATCTCAAAATTATTTACCCATGTAATCTTTCTGAGAAAGCTCTAATCAGAAGGACAGGGTATTTTTAGTGTGTGTTTGCTGTAGGTTCGTCCTTGTTAAGTCTTACACAGAGAATACATTATGCTGTAGTTTCTCTGAAGGTCGAAGCCAATTGTTGCATTAATCTGGATCACTTCAAAATGCATGCCATGATTACTAAAGATTAAGTAAGAACTGTTTTAAGCATTCATAACGATTTGAAACTGGCTTTAAAAGACGTTTGTTAGTGTATCTCACCTTATATAGCAGTGAGCAGCTGTGATCACCCAGTTGTTATTGAGCAATATTCCAGAGCAGTAGGGCCCATTGGCGTTATAGAGCAACACCAGCCAAGGATGCTCAGATTCTGAGCATACTTCACCCCCTATGATGCGGTTACGACCTGCTGACACTGCAATAAAGACCGAGAAAGCGCATAACGTGGCATAGCAAAGCTCTTCAATAGACAGTTGGAGCACAGTCCTTCCAAATCACTTGCCCAGCTACATTGGAAGGGGCAGCTCTATCATTAGGTAGCTGCCTCGGGCACTGGATGCTTGGTGGTTTGGAGTGAGCATTGGTAGAACATCACTGGCCTTTCCCTTCTATTGGAAGACACAGCTGTGTTTTCCAACAGCCTGCTCTGTACTCTGTAAAGCAGGATGCTGCCCCTATATGAAATGAAGAATGCTACCCCACCAGAGCTGGTATGAGATCCAGCTGCCAACCCAAATGGTTTCTATTCATGGAGTGGAAAGTGCACCATCTTCTCCTTTACCTTGAGCACTGACATCTTTCGGCTTGGCCTGTTAACTGGATTATCTCTTTACATAGGTTACGATTAGGAGGCCAAATTGTCCCAGGCTGGATTAGGATAAATCGTGCTAAACAGGACCACTTTCAGATGCAGCATATCATTGGAGGTGATTCTTACATCCACATTCAAGGACTGAGTGGTTTGGGGACAGAAAAATACCCCACACTTTCAACCATAATATTTGGCCCTTTTTCCCTCTAAGGGGAAAGAAAAATACAGTAAGACTGCCTTCAAACAAATCTTCATCCTTGTCCCCTCCTGTCTTCTCCTCCATGAGGGAGTGGGAGGAAGCTTTCAATTTTGAAAACATCATTTCAAAATGGCATAGCACTTAACTGGTTTGCTAAGCAACCCATTCAGCATTGCCTTACAAGGGCTTAAAACATAATACTGTAATAATAATATTTTAAAAAGACTTTGCATCCTCTCTCTCCCCCTCCAAGGAGTGGGTGGAAGCTTTCAATTTTCTGATTTCATGAAGGGGCAGTTTAAGTTATTTGCTTTGGTTTGTTTCCAGCAACCACACATGCTGGGACTGTACCAAAATGGATTGATCCCACCCTCACAAAAGCAAAAACGAAACAAACCAGCCAACAAAGAACACAGTAGCTCCTGACAAGGACTCAGAAAGGTCCAGGGAAGCATGCATCAGGGACCAGCTGCTTCATGCCTGCCCATACATCATGTGGACACTGGGAAAAGGAGTGAACCAGCCCATCCTCAAACCAGATTTATGGAACAAATCCTTGTCTGGATGCACCCTTACTTACGAAGATAAAGTGAAGGAATATCCCACAATGTTCTTGTTAAAGCTTGAGGCAGAATCTTGTTAGTTTAATCTCATGCAGGAAGGAAATTGCAGATGCTACCGAGATTAATGGACAACATGCCACTCACACGCTGATCACATGCTTGCTCATATGCCTGGCATTGAGTGACCTCCCTGATATCCCTTCCATATATAGTTAAAAGAAGTAAGATTCTGGCTTTGATCTACAAGGATGCATCCTAGACTCAGAGACCAATTAGGTTGCCCTCTAAATAAACTGGCTGTAGAATTACAGGAATCCCACTCCCCAAACATCTGGAGAGCACCAGTCTAGGGAAGGCGGTTTGAAAGTGTCAGTTTAATGGGTGTTTTGGGTAGGCGGGTGTTATTTGGATGTGGTGGCGCTGCAGGTTAAACCGCAGAAGCCTCTGTGCTGCCGGGTCAGAAGACCAGCAGTCGTAAGATCGAATCCATGTGACGGAGTGAGCTCCCGTCACTTGTCCCAGCTCCTGCCAACCTAGCAGTTCGAAAACATGTAAATGCGAGTAGATAAATAGGTACCACCTCGGTGGGAAGGTAACAGTGTTCCGTGTCTAGTCGTGCTGGCCATGTGACCACAGAAACTGTCTTTGGACAAAACGCTCGCTCTATGGCTTGGAAATGGAGATGAGCACCGTGCCCTAGAGTCGCACATGACTGGACTCAATGTCAAGGGCAACCTTTACCTTTACAGGAAACAAAATGACCTGGACGACAACCACAATTTCTACATGGAATTCTGAAATCTATTTCAAGCCCTACTAATTTATACCGCTACTACTCCCCATATGCTGTGGGTTACGGTTTATTTGCACCCCATTAATATGCAGAGAAAGTAAGGTAAGAATAGAATGGACACATATCCCTTCAGTCAAAATCACAGGGCTTTTACAAATGCAACTCTTATACAACCGTTTACCTATACACATATGCAGTTAAGTGGAAGAAAAACAAGCCAGTACATACACAGATGGCCACACATTCCACGCAGGAACAGTGCCTTCAAAACGGTAATTCTTACCGAAAGACAGCGTCAGCAACAGGAAAAATGTCCGCAGTCTGGTGAGCCCCATAGCGGCAGATCTGCCTAGTAAAGCGTCTGTACCTACTTTTGAAGTGAGAAGCAAGTTCAATGTTTAAGAAAATGCAGCAGAGTTTCCCCCCCCCCCTTTGGCTCAATACCTTGTTTCCTGTTTGATTTTTTACCTCAAGGAAAGGCCACAGGTGTCCAGAAGGTGCCAAGTTCTCACCACTCCACACCTGGTTTAACCAGGTAGCCATGCATTGAAAAACAGGGTTTGGACACGAAGCCATGCAGAGAGAAAACAGGGTTGGACCTCTAAAGGTAAACAGAAGCGGAGCCAGCATCTTCTACAAAGAGGCGAGCAGGATTGTTTGCTGTGAGGGAGCTCCAAAGAAGAACTGGCACAGCTGGTCCAGAAGAACGTTGGAAAGCTTTCAGTGGGCCGACATGAAGGGGCAATGTTTCAAGTGATAATGGAGGAAGAGGGACAAAGGAAAGGAATCGCTTTGAGATGGAAGTCCCAACAAAGCTTAAATTAGGGCTGGCCCTCCATTTGGACAGAGTGAGGCACTTAACTCAAGCAATGCGTGTTGGGAGCCTGGCAGGCTGTCTTATAAAAAGAATGTACAGTTACGGATCCAAAACGTGCAAAACAAGTTAGCTTCCAGTGTATGGCAGTCCTATAAATGAATGACCTCCAAAAAAAAAAAAATCCTGCCAGTAGGAGCTTTATTCAGGTCACTAACGACTATTACATTTTACCCCCCCCCCCCCAAAAAAAATCCTGCCAGTAGGAGCTTTGCTCAGGTCACTAATGACTATTACATTTCAAAAATAATGCCTTATTTAAAATAATACAAGAGCCTTGCGGTGCAGTGGTTAAACTGCAGTATTGCAGCCAAAACTCTGCTCACTATCCACATTTGATACCAGCTTGATGTTGAATCAGCCTTCAAGCCTTTTGAGGTCAGTAAAATGAGTACCCAGCTGGCCGGGGGGTCAGGGCAATGTGTAGCCTGTATCATTAAAAAATTGTAAACAGCCCAGGGACTGCTTTAAGCACTATGGGGTGGCATATAATCAGCACACTTTGTTTTTTGCTTTACTTCATTTTTCTCTAAACATTTACTTAGTTACTAAGAGTAAGAGTAACTAAATGCTACTTTTAACTTTCAGTACTTGTAGTTACACAGGGCTTTTCCAGACAGTGCTTTGATTTGCTTATTTGTCCCTGTTTTACAGCTGTTGTGAAAGATCATGGGATTTATCATGACTGGGACTTACATTAGGCCCAGTAGTATTATGATATTGTTTGATTGCAGGACAAGCTTTCTAACATGGAAATAACATGCTACTTCCTCTCTCATCAAGCCCCCACTTTCTCTCTGCGCTCCACCTTATGTCTGCTCTGTTTTGCTCCTACTCTCTATGCGGGGCATATTGTTCAAGATAATGCTCGACCTGTGTCGCATTTCTTCTTATTTCTGTCTTGTTCTTCTGAATTCTTAAGGCTATCATTTAAATCCCCTTCATGGATTGCTGCCATGTTGTGGCGAAGGGGCTTGAGTAATTGAGAGAAGCTATGGGCTATGCCATGCAGGGACACCCAAGGCGGACAGGTCATAGTGGAGAGTTC